GGTATGCTGAGCACTGTATATTTACATTTACCATTGTAAAATCTTTGTATTTATACTTTGTAAAGCTTCTTTAAAGGTGCTAATGTATTATTATTATTAATATAAGATACAAATGTTGGCGTTTTTTGAACGAACTTTGATTTAAACTTAACTTTGTTTAGCTTTTTAAGCTAACAGAGGCTAGAAAGCTCAAAAAAGGATTCAAGTAAATGATTTTATGTTCAAATCTTTTATTGCGAAAAAACAAAAATATTACAATACAAATTGTTACATAGTGTTATCTTTTGCTGTTGTTGTTTTTAACAAAAGGGAAAAGAATAGGAAATTTGAAAAATAAAAGGGAAAATTTATTAATTTATTAATTAGTGAATATATTAATTAATAAATAAAGGAAATAGAAAAATGGAAACGGGTGCAGAAAAAAAATGGAAAAATGGAAACCAACTGAATGCAGTCATTCAACAACTACAATCAAATAATCAGATATGTTGTTAATGTTGAAAGTATGTATAATTAAACAGTATAAGACAATAGTAGTAAAAAACAAATAAATAAAATGACTAATATAATAAATAAATGAAAAGGAAGGAGAGTGCATCTATTATGGAAGGCAAGATGTTAAGAGACTTGAAGTGAATCATAAAACATTGACACTTTTTAAAGAATTAGTTTTCCCAGAGCATCTAACTTTTTCCAACTTCAGAAGTTAATTATTTTTTAAAAATCAGAAAAGGGATCCACACGGCTTGCAGTCTGTAATATGAAGTCTACTGAAAATACTCTAAAAATGATTTCAGCAAAATTGTTGCAAACAATTTATATGGGTTGAATTTAAACAAACAAATTAAGTTTATTAATATTCAAATAAATTAAATAAATAATTTGTTTACAACCACGTAACTTTGAAAAAATTGGCAAATACAAGGAATCATCTTTAAATAATTTTTTTGTGTGTGGAACATTTTGATACATTTTGTATGCCTGTAAACATTTATGAGTGTGTTCAGTTTAGTTTTTGGGGAAGGGTATAACAGCATATGGCTTCACAACAACATGAGGAAGAACAAAACAATGATCATGCACACACTGTTAATTTTAGAATTGACAACCGCATTTAAATACAAGAGTGAAGTAAATCCCCTAAATTAAGCCTCAATGTGTGTACAGAGCACAGCTCACTCCTATAATTGTGACAACTGACTAATTGAGCAACATTCAGGCGTCTTTCACATATGCTATCCACTGTATTTTTAACCGGTTTAACGTTACAACATCACACCCTTGTCATGTTCTCCAGTTAAACCACGGGCAACAGAGGAGTCATGTTTTGTTTACGCTTAGAGGGCTGTTTCACAGATCGCAGTCTTAAAGCGTTGCCATGTTCACTTATTAAAAGCATCTTTGAACTTAAGTTCGGATGGTTGAATGTAAGACAGGGACATATTTAACCATTTAAAAATTGTAAAAAGTATTTAATTTTTTAAATCAGAATATCACAATTGAATGTTTCAAAGTGAATAAATTAATTGTTAGTTTAGGTCAAATGACAACATTATGGTTTCTAACTTGCATTTACACAACTGTACATCTATTTTCAGCACTTTCTTAAGCACCAAACCAGCATATTATAATGATATCTGTTTTTGTCCTTATGATGCAAAAGAAGCAGCCTTTAGTAAAGTCTTAAGATTTGAAAATTGTTATTTTAACTGTAATAATTCTAATAATAATTTAACTTTATTGTGGTCAAGTAAATGATAGGAATTTCAATTCCCCCCCCCCCCCCCACCAAAAATAGTAGTAAAAAAACAATAACTTTTTATTTAAGGACATGAAACAGCCAGAAGATTAAATTGAAAGATGCATTTGAATTTTCAGACTTTACACATCAGATCTGTTGAGTGAACGGTTGAATTCCTCTGGGAAAGTGAAATTCAGCTTTGGTACAGCAGATCTGCTCCTGCCCTTTTCCTGCGTCTCCTCCCTGTCAGAGTGCATTATCTCCACTCAGGGCTATTTCTAACACACAGGATGTTTGCTTGTCTACAGACTCAGCCCCACCTCTTCTGTCTGCTCCTTTCAGTTCAACTCGCATATAAACTTTCCTTGTCCACTTTGTACATCTTTGAGTTTGCAGTGTACAAAACTTTGTTCTTCATCTGTCAAAAAAGTAGTGCATTGGGGGGAAAAATGCATTAAAATGCCTTCGTGTCCAACAGTAGCGGTATACAGCCACATCGCACTGCTACAAGTGTGATATTGTGTTTATACAACAGTTCGACTACATTATTGTGCATATAAAAAATTTAATCAAACATGGAGAGTCTCAAAATGCTTTTAAATGAGAAAATACTTTTTTCCTACATTCATTCACATCTGCAGTGAAGCCAGAACAGCAGAAACCGTTGCCAGTTCACAAATGTCACTAGTATTTGAATGATTCTCCATCGTAATGTCTAAAGTGATGACAAAACAGGTGATTTTTCTGGCATTTTAGGATTATAAGGCTGAACGGCATGAAATGCCATCAGTCTACAGAGATTTCCCAGTATTTCTTCTGTTGCTATCGGGATATCACAATAATTAACCCTGAAAAAGCAACGCAATCACTACCAAATTACTGCTGTGTTTGCGATAAAGGAAATTGCGGGAATTTCTTCTTTCTTTCTTTTTACTGCAGTAGCGAAAACAGAACTCGTTATAAACAGATGGACATCACCTTTAAGACCTTTATCACTATTTAAGACTTTAAGATGAGTTCCATCTCAAACTCACACTACAATTACTATGGTGTAAATACAGCACTGCAACATACAAAAGAGAGAGATCGACTTAGAATATCACTTACCAGTTTTATAATGATTTGATCAGCTGTAGTTTAAACTTACTCTGAATTTTTCCTCCTCGTAGGGCTTATTATGCGGTCTCTGTCGCCATATTTTGGATGAACAACGTCAACCGTCTTTGCTCAAAGATGCACTATCTCTAAGAAATTATAAATATTTTAAAATAAGCACTATGCTTCTAAATAAATTATGTGGGTGGAGTAATACACAAGGGTAAAGAGGCAGTATCAGTGTTGTTACTGGCAGAATATCGCACTGCTATCAGCCAATCAGATTTAAAAACCAGGCAGAACTGTTGTGTATATGTGTATATATATATATATATATATATATATATATATATATATATATATATATATATATATATATATATATATATATGTGTGTGTGTGTGTATAATATAATATATATATATATATATATTATTCATTTTGTCTATTTATTTATTTTATTATATTATATATTTATTTATTTCTATTTAAAATAAAGGCTCTTAGTTTGAACTTTTTATTCATTAAAGTATAGTTTTAAAAAGTATAAATTCTACTAATAAATCTTCAACATTGATACTAGTTAAACATTTTTCCATCATATATTTTTTTTAAATCAGCACATAATGATCTGTAAAGGAACATTGAAGACTGATAATAAAGCTGAAAATCTAACCTTTTTACATCTTAGGAAAAACATTAAACTTTAAAATATATTCAAACAGAACACCGTTATTTTAAACTGTAACAATATTTCTTGAACACCGGTCATAGCATGTCAGATATGTGTTTTCGGGTGGAGTTATAACAGTTTTTTTATTCTGACTAGCTATTCTGGTTGTGGTTTCTTATAATGACAGACCAAGTTGCTTCTGTTTTGTAAGTGATGTATTTTAATCCTTCATTCTCAGTCTATCATGAAGGAAAGTGATTGTAAAAGGCATAACTTTAGCATGAAAGTCTTGCTTTGGCACTCCTGTGTGACTGATCGCCTGGCACTGAAGGACCTGCTTCAAATAGCCAGCATCAGTCAGAAGAACATGAAGGCCTATTGATTTCTTCACAAGGGTAGCAGCATAAAAGTGAATGGTTAAAGAGAGTATGATAGAGCAACAACAGTTACAGCAGTGCTGGAGGTCTGTGATGGAGCACTTTGTTCTTCAGCAACTCTGTGTTCTCAGCTGGACTGAAGGTTGAATGTGAATGTGAATATGACTGGAGAGATTCAGACTAATGGTAAATCGAAGCAGTGGTTAATTCTGGTTTGTGGACAGTGTACGTGTTACTGAACTAAGTTGTCAATGCTGTCATTGTGTTTAAAGTCTGCACGAACCGGAAGCTGCAACCTTTTTGTTCGTAATGTGACAGTTTCTAGAGAAACAGAATATTAAATTAGAAAATAGTGTGTGTGGCTTGTTTTTCTACTGCAAGCTGATTGGATGTAGTATAGTAGGTATTTCATTCAGCAAGATTGGGAAAAGGGTTTCAGGAGAGTTATTTCAACTTAACAGACACCACCTCCTCCTCATCATTTCTGTTTGTTGCCAAAACGGACAGTTGGAGGGACGTTGTCAATCATGTTAACCAGCTCAATACCTCAGACAGACCAGCAATAGGAGATAACAAAATCAAATGGTTAGGTGTGATTTCATTTGTACTTTACTTGGTGTGGCTGGGACACACCAAGACGCTTTGTTAGGTCGTCGGTCAGCAGCGGTTCATTCTGTTTGTTTGGTGTGTTTCACATGTTGCACTTGTTTGGTTAATGTCGGATCAAGTTGGTCCATTTCAGGATTTAGAATCGGCATTGGCCATCAGTATAGTTATAGGTGAATCAGGTAAACAAAATTAGCCATAGTATATGATTTTGTGTGTTAATGTAAGAGTGTATGGGTGTTTCCCAGTGCTGATTTGTGGCTGGAAGGGCATCGGCTGCATAAAACATATGCTAGAGTAATTGGCGGTTCATTCTGCCGTGGCAACCCCTGATAAATCGGTGACTAAGTTGAAAGATTGAGTGAGTGAGTGATTGAGTGAGTGATGGATTATTCGATTATCTGCAATCAAACAATATTATTAATTGTCTCGTAGAATTTTTCTTTACAGATCTTACACATTTGCTACTGTGGTGTTTTGAAACTAACATAACGATCTGTCTTTGCAGGCCAGCAGCACTGGACAGAAAGCCAGCAGAGCTCAGCACCCTCAGCGACGGCTACCAGATCCGCATCTGAGACCCTACAGCACTGATGTAACAGCTTTATCCTCCACACGTCCTCCCGCAGTCAGTTATTTAATGCAAATTGTGAACTGTACAGTATATTTATCCTATTTTTAGTTCTGCTTCTGTGTAAAAGGGAAATTGGGTGCCCTTCTCAAATTTAAAAGTGATTCAAAAAAGGTTTTAAACAAGATAAGACATTCGTTTTAAGCCATAAAATGTTGAAATAGTTCATAATTTAAGTAGAATTGAACCAAATTTCTTGCTGAAGAATATTTTTGTACCCTAATAATGCTCAAGTATTTTAGAAAGCTTAAAAGTGTGACTGACAAAAATATTCACGCAAATGTGGGGGAAAACTCTATTTTTGGACAGATCGTCACTAGCTGTGAGAGCTGGAGTGTGATTGGATTGTGTTTGGCAGAGAGATGTGAACCTCGGTGCCTCACTATTGGTAGTTTTGGAGACTGACTGTCAAGAAGCTATTTAGCCAGAGGCGTAAGGACACGAGGGACCAGAGCATCAGAGAATCCGCCATTCTGCCCACAAGAACTATGTTCAATACACTTCCTTTTTGTTGATGTTACCTCCACACACCTGTAATATGGATGGAAAGAACATGTTTTATTGATCTTTATTGAAGGTTTGAGGCTAACATACATTGATAGGTTTTGTATGTTTTTTTCTTATACAATATCATGGTAGTGGTTGTAGATGAACTTTTTATTATTTAAATGTTTTTATTATTTATCATTTTTTCGCTATTGTTTTTAACGTTTTTTTTAAGCCAGTACAGTATTTTGCGGTTCTGTGCATTTTCATTTTACTTTTCTTTTGATGAAGAAACTCTCAGAGGTGTGAAGGTTGAAGTGCTGTCCACTGCAAATAATCCTGAAAGTTTCACATATTCATTTAAATTTTATATTTTCTAATTACTTTTTATGCGGCAGTCAGGAACCACATTGTTAATGACTATAAATCAGAGGGTTTTTACAAAGCCCCTAAAGCAGGGCTGCCCAAATTCGGCCTTGGAGGGCTGGTGTCTTGCAGACTTTAGCTTTAACTTTCCTCAAGACACCTGCATGGATGTTTCTAGAAAGCCTAGTAAAAGATTGATTTGCTAGCTCAGGTGTGTCTGATTTGGGTTGGAACTAAACTTTGCAGTACACCGACCCTCCAGGATTGAGTTTGGGCACCCCTGGCCTAAAGGGACATGGTGATAGGAAAAAATATACTTCAGTGTTTTTGTGTTAGCTTGCAAAACTGAGTGAATGCAAATTTGGAGGGGGAACAATTTTCAAGTGTATTTGCTAGTAAATGTGGAACCCTGTACTTTTGTCAAGTTTTGCAAGGAATTGCAAAGATATTAAAGTATCATCAGGGTGCGAATTACAGGGGGGTTTGACCCCCCTAATTAACACTTGATCCCCCCTGAAGGACATCAAAGCAAGATGTATGGGGTAAGGGTTAGCCCTTTAATAGTAAGAAATAGCTTTCTCTGATCTCTGATTTATATCTTAAATATTAATAATTAAAAATGTATAATATAACTATACATTTGACACCCCATAATGATTCATACCTTTGGAAATGCATAATCGTGCTAATCAATGCTAGGAAAAATACGATTCAACAGTCTGAAATTGGCAGTTCGCAAGCACCAATAGACACCTTAAATATTCACAAAACATGCTTCTTGTAAAATAGATGTTTATATCTGCATGTAGCCTAAAAAATGTTTAATTTAGACATAATTTGTATAGTTTGACCGACAGTAACGTCTAAAATAGTCACGAAATATCCCCCAAAATGCTAAAAATGGGTACATTTTATCAATAAATGTGATATAATTTAAATACATTAGTAAATTTGATTCAGCGAAGCATGCATTACCAAACTACTACAGAAAAAGTTGACCCCCTGATCGTCAATGTCTAATTCGCACCCTGAGTATCATGTTATATCGAATACTATAGTTCAATGCTTTTTTACTGATTGCCAAGTTTTGTGAAATAAAACACTGAGACTGAACTCAATAGTTTTGCGTGGGAATGCAGTGTTTCTCAAGGGAATGAAATGCATTGAAATTTAATTTTTAGATTTTAAAGTGGGAGGAAAAGCTATATTTAAAACTTATTGTAGTGAAGGCAAAGCTTCAAGAGGAAATAAAAGTAAAGACACACTAAAAAGAGGGTAAAATTGTAAATGCAAAGGATCTTGGAGGAATTACCACTATATGAAACTTGAAAACCTTCTTGGAAAACTGTGAAGCATTGAAATATAAATTCCTCACTTCATTTTTTTCTATCCTCATGTCCTCTTAATTCCAAAGTAAACTTCTGTTTTATGCATATGTGAGGGTCTGCTTACAGTGTGCTTGATGTGAATTTCGCCATTTGAGCAGTATGCACGATACTTTACACGCAACAGTATGATGAGAAATATAACAGCGCATTCACTGAGCACCAATATTCGCAAACATCATTAAATGAAGTCTACTTTCAAAGGTGCGTTTGACTACACCATTGCTAACATATGCATAGACTAATAGGATATCATCTCTTAATCAACAGCATATCACTTCAAACTTTCCCACCTCATGAGAATAAGCTATGCACATGGAGCAGATCTGCGCTATGATCTGTTTTGCTCAACAACAGACCTATTTTTAAAATTGTAGCAGTGACATTGTTACTAAGTCTTTGTGGGTTGTGCGAGTGGTTCCTCTCTGAGCGTTGTTTATTGAGTGCTGTTGACTAAACTACCACATTATAGCTCATTCTGCCTTGTTATTGGTACCAGCTTTCCTATTAGAAGCTATCGAACCACACAAGTGCCAGACCACTGAGTACGTCAAACTCATCCTTAAGGCTGAGGGTTTTATCTCAGTCACATGAAGATAAAAAAAGGTCATGAGTTTCAGTGACATATCTAATGTTGAATTGTTCAGACTCTTTATGGGAGAGAAGGGGTCTGCTGCTTTTTTTTTTTTTTGGTATGTGAAGAACATCACATTGTTACAGATTTTTTTTTATCATTTATAACTTGCTGTTTGGAAACTTATTGTGTGAAATTGAGTGGAAAAAGTAAAAAGCAGTAGTAAAAGCATTCAAGTTTCTGGTTTTAAAGAAATGCAGTGATCTCCCCTTAAAGGTGCTAAGATGAGACATTTTACCCATATTGTGAAAGTCAATATTTTAGCTTTTGTATGATTAAAGAGCACATTAATCTGGCTTCTGTAGCACAGTGATGGAACTGCAACAAGTTTAATATTACACATCACCAATATATATTCACAGGTGATGTAAGTAATCAGATTATAGATGCTTTTGTGGAATGTTTGTTTCCATGTCTGAAAATACAATCAGTTTGAATGACAAAATAGTTTAATCCAATTTTATGGGAAATGTTTTTCTCAGTAAGAATGTTAAAAATGTGACTTTATGAAGATCTCACTACTTCAAGCCTATCCTGAGTTTCCTGTGTATTTAAATGTATCACAAAAATAAGGACTTTATAAAATAAGTGACCCTCAACATATTTTCCTAAGCCTTGCAACATAAATCCTCTTTTCTGTCTGAAATTTGTGTTTCTGGGTCACTTCCATTTCCTCATAAGCAAACTTGTTCACCCTCAGTAGCATGTTTTAATAAAACAAGTTTTTTCTGTGATGGAACGTTTACTGTGTTTAATTACGCGCGCTTTCCGGGATACGCGATTCTGATTGGTTAGTCAAGTAAATAAAGAGCAAACGGCGCCATCTTGCGTGTAAATGATCCATTGCATTAATATCATTTTCATTTGTCTTGTTCCTTGGATGACCGTTTTGCTTGCCGACTGGCGTTTTAGAGTACAGGTGAGGTTTTAAGCGTTTTACTCAAATCACTATTCACATATGTGTCAATGGACTGGGTGGTAAAGCTATGGAGTATTTTCCAATACTTTCCGAATAACTACATTTGTTGATTAGCAAAGAAATCTAGTTTTCAATGTCTCTTTTTGTGTGTGTCCTGCCATCATGACGTCGTGTTATCTTAAAAACAGCTTATTTGCTACAAAACCAGTATACAAGCCAATTATTGCTTGCTACCTGAGCAATCACGTAACGTTAGAGATAATTTTTTCACAAAATGGATGCAAATAAATGTCACGTGACATGCCCATAGCCAGCCTGGTAAAAGGAGTGATTCTTTTTTTTTTCTCAAAAAGTGAACTTTTTTGCATTTATTTGCCTAATTTTCTTTTAAATTGTTAGATCTAAATACTGAATTTTGGTGATATTTTAAACACCATTTATAGCTGGATTAGCTTGTTGAATGGCCATCATAACCACACTTGTTTGATGTACCAAACATTAAGGATTTAAAAGATAGAAATATGAATAAATACTTATTTTTAAATTTATTACATCACATATCATTAGAAAAAAATCAGGAATCCATTAATATATAAATTTAAAAACTGCAGCCTATTGTCATTTATGCAAATAACAGGCTAGCATATTCAACTACTCAGTCAGAATTTATCAAATTGAATACATAAAAGTGTAGAGCTTTGTAATTTTTTTATGGCCTCTCTTGAAAGAAAGTACATTTGCAGCCAAATTAGTATTCTAATTAATATGGGCCGCTTCATTAATATGCTTCATTTTTTATTGGTCATTTTTGTTTCAAGAATAATGTTAAAGAATTTTAGTAAAAGTTACTTATGAAATACTTTCTCTATTTGACAACAATACAGTTGGTCAGTTGTGAAAGATGATGTTACTCACGTCTAATTGTATGTTTTCTTGCACAGCTAGATGTTGGACTCATGAAAATTGTCTGCATTGGTCAAAACTGATTAGCTGAAGTCTTGATAGCCTACAGAGGATTCCTCTTGGTCTTAACGCCTTTTCGATTGGTTATTTTTACAATTTATGATGGCAAAGCAGTCAAAATAGGACAAATGAGCTCAGGTATGGGACAAATTCCTGACCTTTGTCAGTGAGTGGTGGGTTTTTCGAACCACCTGAACCCCCCCGAGTGTGAGCGTGAGCTACACTTACTAGGCTACCAATAGAAAGAAAACAAACAAACAAAGAATAGTATAGCCTATCTACTTCTAAAAGTGTAGTATTAAATTAAAATGGGCCCTATAAAAAAAGTCTATTAAAAGTTCTTTACCAGCAAACAGCCATTGTGATAACTACCAAAAATTATTTCATTATTTTTTCATCCTTTAAGTTTGTTTGTTTAAAGAATGTCACTGCCACTTGTTAAAAAAAAAACAAAAAAAAAAACAACTTGGATTATTAGTATTATTATTTTTAACATTTAAAAAAATAAGTTACAACTTCAAACTAAATAGAAGCATCTATGACTTTTTACTTAAACTGCAGTAAGAGAAAATTGCGATTTTAATGAGGACATTGTGCCCTAAAGTCTCGGATGTAGCCTATTTTTGTACTTCTAGTGTAAAATAGATTTCTAAAAGGAAATGAAAGTTACAATTTTAACTTATTTTTAATAATGCACAAAGGTTAAAAAGAGTTAGTCAGTTTGACTCACAACGTCATTTTTTAAATACATTTGGTCGCTTGTAATTTATAAACTTTGTAAGGTCCTGAATACTGTTGGCCGCTGTCTCTGTAAGGAGCTGTTCTTGCCAAAACAGAAGCTTTGAGATTAAACCAGGTGATGTAACATCAATGTTGCCCTAAATCTCAGAGTTACAGAACCCAGTCTGACTGAAGTGTTTCTGCACAGTGGGAATACGCCCGCTTTAATCTGCTTACAAAGACAGCGTCACACACTGGAATAGAGCCGCTGCGGATTTACTGAAAAATCCGTCATTTCTCATCTCCTCTCCAAGATAAAAAGACTCCAAGAACACCCAGCATTGTCTCAGGTCGGTCAAAGCATGCTTTGCTGAAACGCGTCTTATCAGCTGAATTTTAATAATCCAGAAACAGAGCTGCATTCTTTAAAAAAATATTCACACAAAACCAAACCACCGCAGAAGTAACTCAAGGTGTCAGCAAGTTGAACTTCACTTTCTAATTATATTCAGAACTGCAATGGCTATCTGTTGTGCACAGTCATGCAAAGATAACTTGTGGGGAACAAATTTTTGTATATTTGATAAAGCATTAAAAAGTTCATAGTTCAGCTTTTTGTGTCAGCATAGTGGCAGATTTAAAAACAAGACTAAAGCCCCATGTTATTAAGTGAGATCTTCACTAATGGACAAGACTTTCTGTATCTGATGACATTTACAAGGAGAAAATGCCATTGAAACTTGATCAAATGAAGTACATATATTTATTAAAAAAATGAATGTTTTTGCCATTAGAAACTGGTTATATCCACAGACTATTGCACTTTAAACTCCTTCTAAAATTAAATTTTGCAGATTAGGCCCTTTTTAAACAAACCCATGGCACTTCTTGTAAAGAGTAGGGGTGTAACCCCGGTGTCCTGGCCAAATTACCTCCCTCAGTCCTTTATGTCCACTCAATCATCCCCAACCGCTGAATTGGCTCTATCACTGTCTCTCCACTCCCCCTATAGCTGGTGTGGTGAGCGCACTGCTATCATTGTCCTGGGCTGCCATCGCATCATTAAAGTAGATGCTGTACACTGGTGGTGGTGATGAGAGACCTCCTCACATGTTTGTAAAGCACTTTTGGTGTTTGTTCATACACAATAAATGTGCAAAATAAATGTAGAATACATTACACAGAGTACTATAAATGTTCAAACCACAAGTGAGAAGTAATTTTCCAGCTTGTCTCAGTTGCTTCAAGTCATTTAATTTGACTTGGCTTTTTTTCTCCAAATTAATCCTAATGTTAATCCTCAAATGTATTACTGTTAAAACAAACGAAACATGCAAAATTAAAGATTTTTCATTCTAGCACTCTCTGCTTGCATTATATGATATTGATGTATTGCTGCCATCCAATGATGTTGTGTGTTTGTTTGCTTATTTACAATAATACAATAAGCTTAATACAGGGGTGTCCAAACTCAGTCCTGGAGTTTCGGTGTCCTGGAGAGTTCAGCTGCTACCCTAATCAAACACCTGAACCAGCTAATCAAGCTCTTACACTGCAAAAAAAAAGAAAAAATCTTAAAGTCTCCAGGACACCGGCCCTCCGGGACCGAGTTTGGACACTCCTGAATTAATATATTACTTGTGATCCATCACAAACGCCAATAACTGTGATCAGGGTAAGGTTTTTGACAGATGTAGTTCACATAGTTTGTTCATGTTGATCAGACTTTTAGCTTTTATTGGAAAAATCATGAAAAAAAAGGTGGAGAATTTTTTTTTACAAATACGATTAATCAAGTAATGTAATTGAGAAAGGTATTTGTGTTAACTTAAGACAATGGAACTCAAATATATTTCAAACTTAGATCATCAGAAAAAAATGTTTGTAATTTTATATATTGTCCTTTTTATTTCAGGAAACTAAAATTACACATATGCCAGCTTGAAGATAAAATTATTCATTTTTCATCCTCTTTTTTTTATCACTTTAAAATGACGCAAGTGAAAGAGACATTTCGTAAAACCTTGAAAATAAAAAAATATTAATATCTTTATGAAATCACTTGCTTGGTGTCAAAGCTGCCTTGTTCCAAAAAAAAAAACCATCCCTCATTTGGTTGTTCCAGCAAGCATGTCACCATCCCATAATGCACCAGCTAAAACAATGTTCATAATGACACTTCTCGAGCTTAAAGGATCTGTAAATGATTTCTTTGCTTCCCTCTTATTCTGCCCCAAAACATGTTCAAAGGCAACACATATGATATTCACAAGCACTTTTGTTCTGTCAGCTGTCGGCTTGAGGGTGCAGACGAAAACGTGTCAGAAGTGGCAGGTGGTCAGAGGAGTTGTGCTGGTTGGGAAGGCCATTAACCTTCTGGAGTTCCTTTTCTCCCACTAGAGCTAACCTGCCCAGCAGCTGTAGACCCCTCTCTGGCGGAGCACTGTACTCTGGGTAAAAGAAGGAGGAGGGACATTGTCATGGTAACCAGCAGCAGCATAATCTTTCCTGTACAATATACTGCACTGCAGAAAACTGCAGCATCACAGGTCACGTGATTACAGGAGTGGTGATGTAACATTTACACTGATAGTCTAGTGGCATCACCTTTGAGGATATTAACAGGGCTCATAATATGGATTTATTCATTATTATTATTATTTTAGCATGTTCCATAAGGATCACATATAATGTTAATTCATATTTTTTTACTCTAACAGTAATATGCATGCAAAAAAACATTTATTTTCAACACTTATCCTGACCCTCTATGTCAGGGGTCATTAATCTCGTTCCTGGAGGGCCGGTGTCCCTGCAGGGTTTAGCACCAGCTTGCTTCAACACACCTGCCTGGATGTTTCAAGTATACCTAGTAAGACCTTGATTAGCTTGTTCAGGTGTGTTTGATTAGGGTTGGAGCTAAAATCTGCAGGACACCGGCCCTCCAGGAACAAGTTTTTTGACCACTGCTCTATGTGAACATCCTGCTTTTAAAGTGCCCCTATTATGGATTATAAAAAGGTCATATTTCGGTTAACAGGCTGACAAATCACCGATCAAAAAACACTTATATCATCTAAAAATTTTTTTTTTAAAATAGATATCGTGACAGGCCTAATGGAAACTACATTTTAAATCCCTGGAAAGGAAAATTAATATCTTGCATATTCAGTGAAGCTGCGGTCAGATAAAGTACAGCTGACTGCTTTGCTTATGAACAAAATTCCCTTTGCAATCTCTTCATTGCCCTCTGCCTTGTTTACAAAACAGAGGAACAAAACCTCGTCACAAACCTGTTAGAGTTTCTCTTTTCTGTTGAACACACAAATTATTTTTAAAAATGTTGGAAACCAGTTACCATCATCTTCCATAGTATTTGTTGTATATAAAACACAGTTACTGTCAAACTTAGTTCCTGAAGGGCCGCAGCTCTGCACAGTTAAGTTGCAACCATAATTAAACACATGATCAAACTAATTGAGTCGTTCAGTCTTGTTTGAAACCTACATGTAAGTGTGTTGAAGCAGGGTTGCAACAAAACCATCTAGGACTGCGGCTCTCCAGAGTTTGATGCCCCTGCGCTAGAGGGTGAGAAAGTACATTTTCATGTGGTGACAGCAACCCCAATAGCTGCCGTTATTAATAATCTAAGTTTGTATTTGGAAGAAAATGTTACATCACACACACCAACTACAGAGAATAAATGTATTTTCTTGGAGTTTAGACGACAGTAATTTCATAGTCGAACCTGCTTGTGCCATCACGTCTCCCAGAGCCGCAGAGTAGAAGATGTAATCGACAGTGATGGCGGTCCGTGAGTGGCATGTTGTGATCTCGGGTTGACCGCTCTCTTTCAGGTGATGCGAGTACGCAGACGTCAGCCTTAAACAGTGCTCTATGCTGGCTTCGGTAAAACTACACAACAGATCACAGGAGTGAAGAATGAATACTGTTCGAAATTAAAGGTCAGCACATCACAGGATTTAAATAGGACACATCGCTTTGAGCAGTCCAATCTCTTCTCCTTAAATTTGCTGAACAGCACTGACTGTCAAGTGAGCTTGGCTTTAAAACGTTGACAATAGATCTACAGAAATGAAAGGCAAGGAGTGTAATGCTGTAATGTTTACATCAAAGGGCTTGAATGAAGCAAGGCACTGTATAGACAGATATAGATTTATATTATATTTAAATACTCGTTATTACCTTTCCCTTTCAGTCTGCTCCAAATCTCTTAACTCAGAATCTGTGAAAATAATTTAAATTGGGTGTTAGCAGTTGCATAAAACTTTTATTACAAAACATGTTTGCAGCCTGGACTAGCTATAGGTTTAAATAAATGTGTAATACTCAATGTTATGTGATTTCCAAGTACATGTTGTTGCCTGACACATTAGTTATGTTCAAAAATATAGATATCAATTTATATATATATATATATATATATATATATATATATATATATATATATATATATTGACATCACTGCAAATATATATTAACTATTAAGTATTTTTTTAAATGACCCAGATAATTAAACATCTCTGCAAATCTGACGAGTGACTTACTGTATCTGTATCAAAAGTCATATTTAGTTATCTTGTGATATTTCAAAAGAAGCACTTATTTTAGTGCATATATGACAGAATTTCTATAATTTTTGTCTCCAGTATATCAGTTGTTTCATATTTAATACTTTACAATTTTTTTTTTTAAATATAGATAGCATTTAATAAAATGTGTATATATACACATAAGTGTCATTTCCTTGAGTTACATATACAACAACTGATTTGTACAAAACAAACAATTTGTACATAGAAATTCTATCATATATGCACTAAAATACGTGTTTCTTTTGAAATGCTACAAGATAATTAAAGATCACTGCAAACATGACAGTATTCGGTATTTATTTTGAAATGCCAGCAGATAATTAAACATCACAAGTGACTTATTTCAGAAGTCATATTTGCTGTGATGTTTAATTATCTGGTGGCATTTCAAAAGAAACACTTATTTTAGTGCATATCTGATAGAATTTCTATGTACAATTTTTTTTTGTCACCAGTATGTTATTGCATATTTGATACAAAAAAAGTTCAAAATATAGATAGCATTTCATTTATATACATTGACATGAGAGTCATTTCCTTGAGTATTAAATATACAACAACTGATATACTGAAGACAAAAACATAGAAATTCTATCATATATGCACTAAAATAAGAGTTTCTTTTGAAATGCTACAAGATAATTAAACATCACAGCAAATATGACAAGTGACTTACTTCAAAAGTCATATTTGCGGTGATGTTTAATTATCTGGTGGCATTTCAAAAGAAACTTATTTTAGTGCATATATGATAGAATTTCTATGTACAAAGTATTTTTGTCTTTAGTATATTAGTTGAGAATTTACAACAACTGATATACTGGAGACAAAAACAAGCTGTACATAGAAACTATCACATACACAGTAAAAGATGTGTTTCTTTTGAAATGCCACTAGATAATTAAAGATCACTGCAAATATGACATAAAAAAGAGCTTTTTTTAAAGGGATGGATCACCCAAAACTGAAAATTCTGTTATCATTAACTCTCCGTTCTCTTGTAACAACTCTGTTTGAGTTTTTGAGTCTTTTTAATGATGAACAGAAAATAAAAAAATAAGATTTTTTATAAATTTTGTAGTATTTTATTTTCATGTGATGTAAATAATAGTTAAAGACTTTGAAATATTTTCAAAATATATTCTTTTGTGTTCAACAGAAAAAGGAAACTCCTCATAAAGCCACTTGCTTTAATAAATTGAATCTAATCTAATTACATTCATACATTTGCAAGTATGACAAGTGTTCTGGGCTAATTTGTTTGCTTTAACTTTAATAGAAGGGGATCAAAAATATTTGAAAGAAATTAATGCATTCAAATAATCTCAAAAATGTCTCCACATCTGCTGTTCATTTGAAATTTCTATGCGTAAAAGAATACAGAAAATTCTCAGTTACCTCAATTTTTTATGTTGCAATAATAAAAAATATAATGCAATTATTTTTAAAATTATATCAATAATTAGAATTGATTCTGGAACACCAATTTGCATATTAGATTTCTGAAACATCACGTGACCCTGAAGACTGGAGTGCAGAATTAATGGATTGAGTTTCATAAGTAATGGGTGCGGTGGCATGGTGGCTCAGTGGTTAGCACTGTCGCCTCACAGCAAGAAGGTCGCTGGTTTGAGTCCTTGCTGCGTCAGTTGGCATTTCTGTGTGGAGTTTGCATGTTCTCCCCATGTTGGCGTGGATTTCCTCCGGGTGCTCCAGTTTCCCCCACAGTCCAAATTCACTATAGGTGTATTGTATGTGAATGTGAATGCGGGAGTGTATGGATGTTTCTTAGTACTGGGTTGCAGGAATGGTATCCCCTGCGTAAAACATATGCCGAAATAGTTTGTGGTTCATTCCACTGTGTTGGCTTCTGAAATATAGACTAAGCCAAAGGAAAATGAATGAATGTAATGGGTGCAGAAAATCACCTCTAGTTTGGTTTTCATACTGGCACTGCTGAGAGATGCCTAGACTTCTGGGCCAAATTGGCACAGTCAAAATACGCTGCCCTCTTGGGGTCTCCTCCTGTCCTGACACCTAAAAGAAATCAACAAGTATGAGAATTTAGTAAATGCCAAAAATGTTTCAGGGAAAAAAATAATTCCAAGATTCTCTACCTTCCCAATAGGCATGCCATCGTAGTCCAGCCTTCTGTCCTTAATAAAGCGATAGAGGGGTGACCAGGGAACAGAGTTAAAATCCCCACAGAGCAGCACAGGACAAACGCTGCTGTCAGGTAACTGGGACACGCGGCTTATCTCTGCCAGCAGCATAGCCAGCTGGGCCAGTTTAATGTCCCCACGTCTAGGGTTGTAGAGTAAATGTGTGTTAGCCACACAGATGTTGGAGAGAGAGACATGAGGATCAATGGGCCGCAGCAGCACAATCAGGCCCACGTTATCTCGGTCCATGAGCGGGACGCCACGGCGGAAATACTCCACAGGGTGACAGGAAACCAGAGAGAAGCGTTCGCGTTTGAAGATCACTGCACATCCGTCAGGCTTGAGACCCGTTCTCCGCTTGAATTCACAGTGGTAGCCTGTTTTAAGGGCAGAGGATTGAGGCGCTTATCCACACTATTTATCCTACTTCAGTAAAGTGTGATTTAATTACTGTGATGTGAAGACTATTTCATTTAGCAAACTATTGTAATTCACTTAGTTTTTATGCTTGAAACTTATAAAAATCAGTATATTAGAATGATTTCTAAAGAATCATGTGACACTGAAGACTGGAGTAATGATGCTTAAAAATCAGCTTTACCATAACAGGAAAAAATGTCTAAATAAATTACAAGTTGTTACACAAATATATACAGGGTTCATACACATTTTTACTGTTAAAGTTCCTAGCCTGATCTCATGAGGAAATGTAACTATTAATTGTTTTGTCAGTTTAGTGGCTAATTCGAACAAGTTCAGTCGTATGAAAATTTAAAAAGGAGGCATGGCACCCAACCTCACCCCTAAACCCAACCGTCATTGGGGGATAAGTAAATTGTATTAAATTGTATGTATGGGATCAAACAAATTCATACCAATTAGTCATTAAATAAAAAGGTTATGAATTGCAGTGAAATCATGTTGAAAATTCTTTGAATTTTTTAAAACTTAAACTGGGCTCAACAATGAGAACTGCCTGTTGGGTCGGGGCCAGTGTGTGAGATGCACGGGACAGTAGACAGGATCGTTACTGGCCTTATCTGGACCGTGCTGCCTTGTCACTAAAGTTTAATTTGGGTGCAACTGTCAATTGAGTGCAAATACGGACTTAGTATCGAGAAGGAGTTTGTGCTTTTAAGCCTTCAAATGCTACCTTCATGTGATTTCAAAAACACTATATTGCTTTTCGGTTATCTCTTTGGATGTTGTGAGCACGTTATTTTTTTTCCGTAACAACCAGTACAGTGAAGACACAGCAACAAGGTGGCAACATCAAATTATGATGCTAAAAAAAAACTTTGAATGACTTCATAACAGACGTTTACGTGGATAAAACACAACAAAACAAATGAAGTGATGATTTGTACAGTTTGCTGTCAGTTTGGCAGGTCAGCCACCTTTCGTTTTGCAATAAAATACCTGCCTACTGCTACTTTTGTTTGCATAACACTTTGAATTTTGTTCATTATACATTTATTACAATTTTTTAAATATCTGAATTCTAGATTTACAAACATTTGACACATTAGTTTAAATATGTGGCTAAGAAATAGCCATTACCTTTTTTTTTCTGTGGGGCAAGTGAAAATATTGGCAGAGCAAGTAAAAAGCTGAACCCAGCTGATTGGCCCAGTAGAAAAAATCCTTAGAGTTGAAGCCAGCTTAAAAGTAAATTGTCTACGTATATGTGGTAAATAATAAAAAAAAACAATGCGTGTTCAAACTGATTACACCATATCGCAAAACGCGCAACAATCTGTTTGTTTACTTTTAAATCTATATGAAATGTATTAAGATAATGCTTACACAGCACTAATAATGTGAGAGCAGGTGATTAGCCAAGGACTGAAAAGAAGTAAATTCAACTAACCTATATTTTAATGTATACAGATATTTGTCAAACACATTTCCATGACTTTGTGGGTTTTCCTTTTTTCCCAAACTTTTCCAATAATTTTATTTAATTAACAATCCATAAACATTTTCATATATTATCTTCCGACGTATCTTTATATAATACATTTCAACATAATCCACTATTGACTTTTAAAACATCCCAAACTTTAGCAGATATGATGATTAACTCAGATATAGTAAGAAATAAGAAATCCACTTTTCTACAGCGTTGTTTTTCGTGCAGAAATTATACGGCATGTCAGAATTTAGTAAAGTGTAAGGAATTTTTGAATCCAGTAACAGGTGAAAACATTAAGATAAAAACCTGTATTACCTGCTCTACTCGTAATGTGGTCTATATGTTAAAATGTCTGTGCCAAAAGATATATAGGGAAGTCATCACGTCAGTTGAAGTTACAAATTAGTAAACATAGATCAAGTATACGACGACAAGATATATCTTTGGCAGTAACAGGATTTTTTTTTTTTTGGACATGACGTTAAACAACTAGAATGTATATGAATTGAGGAAGTATTTGAGTCACAGAGGAGGTCATCTGAATAAAAGATTATTACAAAGAGAAGCGTTCTGGATTCATAAATTAAGATCACTAACACCAAGAGGAGTTGGACCTTTCTGTGTTCCTTTAATGGTTTGTTGTTTATAAGATGAAATGAGATGAAAATGTACGTTTAATGTTTTGGACTGTTGGAATTTCACTTTACTGACGTAGACATGAGAATAAGTGAATGATGATAATTGATATGTCATTTTCCTGCGCAATGGAGATGTTTTTTTTAAAGGTAAAGGAAAATATTAATTACAGTACATTAAAACGAAAATGAGATTGTTTTTAACTCTTGAGTGGTCGTCTAACTAATGAAGTAATGTGATGACCGTTTAAATCCTGTATTTAATATTACAGCTTTTAACTTTATGATCAAATAATAAACCATTAATGGGGATAAAATCTTTACTGTTGAAAAATATGTGTAATACAAAAAAATATCCTACACTAAATGAAAGAAAATTGACCTATACAGAAATCAAGGAAGAATAAATTACCTAAAGATTCTAGTGAGGGCTTGATCTGTTGTTTATAGTGGTCCTCTTGCACCTCCTGCAGGCACATTATCTATGGGGGAAAAAATGTTGCAGAAATTTTGTTAAATGAACTGCAAATTTTCATCGGTTCAACATGTTTTGAGTGTGAAAGTGGCCTAAAATACACAGGCAAGTCTTTCACAAACTTACATCAGCACTGTACTGTTCCAGCTCTTTGATTATATTAGGAAACCTATTGCGCCAGTCCAGAACAGGAGGATTACAGTGTCTGTAAAGGTATGTGTTATCACAGAGCAGATCTTGAGAGAGGATATTATAGGACATCACCGAAAAGTCAAACGGCCATTTTTGCTTCCCTCGGTTCACAGATGGTGCAGCTTTGCACAGATGAGAAAGATCCTCCCAGTGTCTCTTCAGTTCTGTGAACAGATACGATTGTGGATTTGTGCATAAATACAGGGGTAGTTGACAAATAGGCAGTAAGACATTTGTTATATTTATGTAGTATGAATTGTACCGTACATATGTCCTATGGTGTGACATAGCAAATATTTATTAAGAAAAACACTTATTTACATACATACTATTCAATTTATATGGCATTATGAATATTTTTTTCTCCATCACGTGTCGTTTTCAATAAATTGGGTTACTACAGAACTTTAAAAACAATTTTAAAGCGATTTTAAAAACAATCATTTAACAGGTGCACGTCATGGCCTTCAGTCACATGATCTTAAATGTGGTCCTCAAACTTATAAAATCTTCTGTGGAAATGTTGGTTTAAAATTAGCATAGTGACGCATCAGGGCCCATGTTTTTCAAAAGTAATCCAGTGGGATTTTGGATCATGGATTGTATCAAATCTTGGAAATGGGTTTTTAAAAGTAACAGAGGGATTTCGAATTAAGATCAGACCATGTAATCCAATCTTACATTTGATTTGGATCAAATATGTCATTTGAGTTATTCAAAACTTTCAACCCAGATTGGGACCTATTTGATAAAAAAATGAATTTTCCTGATCAGAAGGGTGGATTCAGTTGTGATTTAAAAAAAAGTGAACGATCACAAAATTAATGGTTACTGATGATATATATATAAACATCTAATAAGATATGGTAAACAACAACAAAACTATTTCAAAACAGTATTATATTAGAACAAACAAATTTTTTTTTAAATGTTTGTTAATTACCAGGGTTCATACACATTTTTACTACTAAAATTCCATGACTTTTCGGTGATTTTCCCAAGATTTTTAAGTACATTTTCATGACCTAATTATTCATGCAATGTCTACGTGGTAAAAGAAACAATGCATGTTCAAATTTATTACAGCAGAGCATATCATAAAACACACAACAATCTATTCAGTTTAAATTTATATCAATGTAAAATGTATTTAGATAATGCTTACCCTGCACTAATAATGTGAGAGTATGTGATTGGCCAAGGACAGAAAAGAAGTAAACCTATATTCAAGTAAACAGATTTCTGTTTTCCATAACTTTGTGGATTTTTTCTGTTTTTCCAAAACTTTTCCAGGCCTGGAAATTGCCATGTCAAAATTCTATGACTTGTCCTGGTTTTCCATGACCGTATGAACCCTGGATTACAGTGTTTCTGTTTCTTACCATTAAAACAAGCAATGGCTGTTTGTGGCCACTGGTATTTTACTTACCAGTGGTTCTTTGCTAAGCCAGTAGGCTACACTGTTGGTTCCATTTAAGGCTTTGATCAACAGGATTTGGTAATGCTGAAATTTGGTTTTTGGATCACAGTAATCCAACCCAATGTTCCTTTACAAAACTGTGTAAAAACTAAGATAGACCAGTTAACCCTGGAGAGCAAAACATGGGATTTCTGGCATTTTCAAATCTGCACCCATTTGATCCATTTAATTTTTTTTTTTTTAAACTGTGCCCAGAACACCATAGTTTTCAGTGATAAAATTTAGATTCACAAAAGTTTCTATGCTTTTGGAAATATATGGATGTATGGGGAAAAATGCCATTTACTAAAATAGCCACTTGTAAAATTAGGTCTGAGGTATTAATTAATGATTGCATTATTTGTTTTTTTTTAAATATTTATAAGAGTTGTAATTTATTGAACTATGCTTGAGACGCTCACAGCATAGGACAGTTTTAAGATTTGGCTTAAAACTGCAATAACACAGCAGTTTTAACAAGAGGTCCATTGAAGACATAGAAATGTTTAACTATTTACTGCATTTGAAACAATCACAATACTAATTATATAAATTTTTTGTCATGTGTGACAGTAAAAATACAACATCATATCAACAACCCACAAACCAGTGCATCCAAATGAATGAATAGCACCATCCAAATCATTTACCAGGTACGGCTGAAGTCCTATTTGCAACTTCAATGCTAGATACATTGCGCAGCCATTCAGGACTTCCTTTTGGACTCCTGCTGCCTTTCGGAGGTGAATGTTGAGGTGAGCGCTGAGATATTTCCCCTTCTGCGCTCTTCCTCCTCTTCTGTGGTGGGGGTCTGTCAGTGCTCTCCATCAGACCTGCAGAAAGGTGAAGGCCTCGAGTGTGGGGCAGTACTCCAGTTTGCCTCCAGGAGCTCCACTGGTACGGATCCGGAGGTCTCGGGGGTCTATTGAACGGGTGTCTGACAGTGCTGAAGGAGGATGAGGGATGCTGCAGCTGTGGTGGCTGCGTCCACCATAAATGACCAGGCTGATACCAGTGTCTCCAGTGGTTGTAGACGTTCTGAGCTGGCGGGAAGCCTACTGTACTCAGGTAACGGCCAAACATGGGATGACTGCAAAAAGTAGAGCCATTAAACATTTGTTTCAGCTTTTTCATTTTTTTAGGTTACATATTGTCTGTAAAAATATATATTTATGCTACTCTTAAAAAAAATTTATTAAGGGCTACTAATGTTTAAAAAACAGCAATTTGAGACATTCAGTAATGCACATGAATTATACAGTCAAATTGAAGAGCATATATAACATAACTTATTATTTCATATTAGATAATAGATGTATTTAAACAATTAAAGTTTATTTGTTCATTTATTGCTACATTAACAACTCATTGCCATTTTAAAATAAATAAAGTAGATAAATAACAACTAAATGTAAGGTAATAAAATAATTTATTTACTTTAAATAAAAAGGAAGAGCATGTAAAATACCAGGGCTTGCAAAATCTGGTAGCCGACATCCAGGGGCTTTGCTTTTTCCAGACAGGCTACAAAATCTATCTCAACCAACCCGAAAGGTTGGTGGGAGTAAAAGTATATTTCAATGCCTTTACATCCACTCAAAAATTTGATAATTATGTATATACTGTGCTGCTGATACTGCAGCAATAAATCCACTTTTTCTTACTTAAGATTCAGATACAGAAATAGCCTGAGCAAAGTTTAAAATTTAGTAATCATATGTGTTTTACTTAAAAATCACTTAAACTTGTCTATAGCAGCATAATCTAAAAACCTGGATTTGTTCTGTTAGCTGTCACACGCCACAGATGTTTCATTTCCTCAGCACCAAATAATGACTTCAACAAAATTTCTAAGGTTTTTAAAACATGAAATTTTATTCAGGGACGATTTAAAAATAACCGAACATGCATTTATTTCTTACCTCAGAATTGTGAAGTTTAATAGGACATGTTTTTTGGTTAAACAAGCAGTTTCACATCATGGTGTTCACATGAGGCCTGTCTAAACTATGCTGAATCTAAATATATATCTTTAAGCAATTACTCAACTAACCTGAAACAATGTTCATTTTGGTTATATGAAAAAACATTAATCAAATAATAATGTTAAATATTGGTTATTTTAAAAACAAAGACATAGCCTATAACAAATGCCATTATATATACACATACACACACAGTTAAAGTCAGAATTATTAGCCCCCCCCTGTTTGTTTTTCCCCAATTCCCCCAAACGGAGAGCAGATTTTTTTTTTAAACACATTTCTAAACGTAATAGTTTTAATAACTCATTTCTAATAACTGATTGATTTTATCTTTGCCATGATGACAGTGAATAATATTTGACTAGATATTTTTCAGGACACTTATACAGTGACATTTAAAGGCTTGAATTGGTTAATTAGAGACTTTCTCCTGAAAAGCAACTTTCTTAATTTAGACTTTCTCCAGAAGAAAAAAATACGATACAGGCATACTGTAAAAAATTTCCTTGCTCTATTAAACATAATTTAGGAAAAATTTTGAAAAGAAAAAAAAAACTCAAAGGGGGGCTAATAATTCTGACTATATATATATATATATATATATATATATATATATATATATATATATATATATATATATATATATATATATTTATATATGTGCAGTTTTTTTCATGTTCGGGCTACAAAAAACTGAAGAGTGCCTAGTGCCTACCAGGGATTTAAAAATTTTGCAAGCCCTGAATACCATATAAAATAAGACTTGAAAACCTTGCTAATCTTTAAATGTAATGGTTGCACTAATTTACAGTATGCGTACTTAACGTGTACCTACAGTACACTTACCTTAGAGCACTGGGCTATTTAAGGTTAGGTTCAGGGAGATGTTTAGGTATAGTACGTTTCCGTATGAATATAATGACTTTGGAAAACACGTAGTACGTGTGAAATGAAGTGCCGACGTTACCAATTTTATAAATGACGAAACGCTGCGATCGATAAGCATAACGTACTGAAAAGTACACAACAACTAAATGAACAGGTGGGCAGACAGTGTTAAGATAGTGATACGTTTAATGTAAAATCTGTTCATTGTATTTCTTCTTACTTTATCGTGTCGTGTGTAGAATAGTACATTGTTTATACAATTTAGTTTGTTAAAATGTTTCATAATTATAATTAACAACAAACCCACTTATAAAATCTCCTGCATTTTCCTTTTGAGAGTTAGCAGCATGAGCAAAACTCAATCAAATATGAACTTACTTTGGAGACACTCCTGGTCTGGCATAGTTAGCATTAGTGTGTCGAGGCATGTGACGCCCTTTTCTCATAAACCCACTTTTCTGGGCACCATCTCAGCTAGGCGAAAGCCCAAAAAGTGTGAAATCACGTCTAGCGATGCTACAAGCTAGCAAAACAAACCCAGATGTGATGGCGTTTGAATATGACGTCAGAAGCCAAGTCCGAATCCGACTAGTAAATGATTCATTCGAATCGAATCTTCTTAATATATAACAGTGTTAGCGATGCACGGAGAATGTGAGGCGGGAAATGTAAGTTCCTTTTAATTACTAACAGCAGAGATAAAAACGAACTGGAAAAGGTTTAATTATTGACTGTGTCACCATTTTATGTGCACGCACTAAAGAGAGTTGTTTAAAGTAAATTCGTTGAAGTTTAGCTCGAAATGTCTTGTTTAAGAACTGAATCACGACTGCAACAATTGCTGAAACGTTTATAAAAGTATCATTGAGACAGATCTATATGAATTTGTGGATTCGATGTAAAGTAATGGTCGGACAGAACTAAGTTTGTGAAAATTTGTTACTATTTTTGAAAGGGTTCATTGAAAAGAACTGTTCAAAAGAATCGATTCGCGGAAAGGAGTCAGACTCGAACTAGTCATGACGGAAAGCATTATGTGACAAAATACTACAATGGCCCTATCCAAACAAATCCAGTAGTTTTAGTAAATGTACAAATGTCTCATGTTTATAAACAGACCAACTTACCGATCAAACCGAGAAAGAGTTGCCGTTTTATAACGTATTGAATTGCAGGATTGATTGATTTCGATCGTACAATATGTACACCGCTAACGTTACAGTGAAATCGCGTTTCACTTCTAGTTACCGGTGAATTTTACCGATGAAACTACATAGAAGTTCATTTATTTCTTACCTGAAAATCCGCGATGAACGCACCGCGGAACACTAGATCCAGATGTTAAACGATTGCTGTCGGTGTCCGGGTGAAATGCTCAGATTTTCAGATCGTGTCTGTCCTGTTTGTCTTCTTTGGCTGTGGATGCTCTCATGCTCGGTTATTTTGACCGAACATTTGTGTAAAGCCTCACATATGCAATATATTAGTCACAGCGCAAATGTTTGTAATTTAATAAACATATTTCATCTTACGAAGATAACAGTTACTCGCATCTACTGGAGACAAAACAGTCCAGCTGGGTTATTTAAACAGACCATTGAATAACACTGTCGTGTTAGTACATCTTGAAGCCACTAGAGGCTACTGTTGCAATGTGGATTTCGAACTAAGCTTTGTTCATTGTACTCTATCCAGGGGTTCCCAAACTTTTTAGCTCGCGACCCCCAAAAATGACGATTCCAGTGACTTGTGACCCCCTCTATCGTTGGAGGTGGTTATAAACAGGGATGGGCAGTATTTATGGTACATGTATTTTTAAATTTGCAGTATTTTGTCATTTGTATTTGATAGAGTTTATGAAAATGGCCTAATTTTTGTATCCAAGTACTTTAGTTACTTGTGTTTTGAATTTTTTTTTAAACTGTAAAATACTTTATAAGAAGTCTACATGATGACATCATAAAAATGTGGCCTCAGATTGATGCTTTCTCAGTTATTTGCCGAGGCTTGAGATCAGAATAGAAAAATAATTAAGCAGGTGGTCAATGCTAATATGTAATGGCAGTATAGTATACTATTGAGATAGAATAAAATATCAGTCCTTAAGAACAGGATGAGGAGCTTTAGAACATCCTCAGTGTCCACCTCAGGGCTGCAAGTGGAAATGCAGAGGATGTTTAGAAATGTAAAACACCTAAAGGATGGTGTACTGATGTTCATTAAAGGGACTAAACTGAGACTCCCTTACAGCAAGAAGGCTGTAGGTTTGAGTCCCGGCTGGGTCAGTTGGCGTTTCTGTGTGGTGTTTGCATGTTCTCCCCGTGTTGGTGTGGGTTTCCTCCTGGTGCTCTGGCTTCGCCCACAATCCAAAGACATGTGGTATAAGTGAATTGAAGAAACTAAATTGGCCCAATTGTATGAGTGTGTGAGTGTGTGTGAATGAGTGTGTATGGGTGTTTTCCAGTAGTGGGTTGCGGCTGGAGGGCCATCCACTGTGTAAGAACATATCCTGGAATAGTTAATTCTGCTGTGGCCACCTTTCAAAAATAAGGGACTAAGCCAAAGAAAAATGAATGAAAATTCAAATAGCCTCTTCATATATCACCCACCCTTTTTAAATATAAGATGGTGGTAATTTTACTGACCATGCAATGGATGGAAACACAATGACGATATAGAGTTCTATGTTTCAATTCATTATCTGCATTAGAGAGTTTTCACTGTGTTTTTTTTTACAGTTCATCCAGAGATCATCTTCAAGACGGGACTTTATGTATGAAATTTGTACAAAATTTATACTAAAATCAAAGAAAAGCAAAATTTTATATATGTATATTCATGTACAGTAGAGGTGAATGAGGTTGCAGAGAAGCTGACTTAAACTTGCTCAGAGAAATGCTATTGCTGCCAAGCATTGTTTACTTCACTAAGTCAGTTTAATGGTAAAGGGATTGATTAAAAAGGCCTGTCAATAGAAGGTGTGGGAAGAAATGTGATGCTCCCTTGTAAAAGTATTTTGTAGTATAATACAAATACAGTATTTTATTTTGACACATTTGTGGCTGCTGCGTTTTGTATTTTATTTTGGTACACATACACATAAAATTGAGGTATTTTGGATTTTATTTTAAAATACATTTCAAATACATTTCCATCCTTGGTTATAAGCATACAAACATTGCACACAACGATGCATACACACCAGTAGGAACTATATAACAAGCTTATTGTCAACACAAAAAAGTGCAACAGTCTAACAACCATATAAATTGTTATTGTCATCATTAATTTAATATTTACCCCACTTAATGAGAATGGTGGGCAATGTTTACAGCACAAAACTTTTCTTGGTTTGTTTTGGAGATCGCCACTTGGGGATCGTCCTCTATGTTCAGTCGTGGCCTCTATTTTTAATGTACGTGAGTGCCATAAAGGTGTCAATGTTTAACATTGTGCTGTAAAATCAATCTGCTGCAACTAATACTACTGTGTCATTAATTAGGCGTAATAACCCAGGACTCACAATCCAATGGAAAAAAATGAAAGGCTGATGGCTTTTTATTTGCATGTTGTTTATTTTGTAATTATTAAATACTATTTTATCTTCTGTAGATTATTGATAAAATGAGCTAATTCTAATAGTTCAATAACATATATAATATACCCTCATTGTCTTGCGACCCCCACTTTGGGAACCACTGCTCTATCCAATTAACAGTTAGCATCGTCACACTTCAAGCTTGGTAAGCTGAATTCTCCATTATCTTGTTTGTATTTTGTCAAACTGTTTATTGTTATTTCCTCAGTACTTTTTTTTCCTAGTACTCTGTAAATATTTAGATAGTTTGAACCCTCAGATTTCAGATTTTCAAATCGTTGTACATCAACCACATTTCCTTTGTTTTTTGGGTTAATAATTAACCAAAAGTGATCAGTTTTACAGATTTCTCTAAACCTTGGTGTTATGCGCAAACACTTTGCAATCTTCTTAATCTATCAAAAAGGTGCCGTTTTAATCTATTCTGTAAACTTGTCTCTTGAAACGTATTTCAAAAATCTGAAACTGAAACATATTGCAAAAAACGTTTTTACTCCAATTAAAGAAAAAAATTATGTGTTTTGTTGTTCAGCTTTTATTTCAAAACAGGATGATTGTGATTTCAGGCTATTCAGTATACACAGACTATTCACTATTCAGACTATTCACTTTACTGTTCACTATGTGAACACAGTAAAGCACATGTTAAAGGATCGTTGCAGTCACTTTGGAGGTCAAAAATGAAATAAATGAGAAAACACTGAATGTTTTGGGGGTACAGATAACATAAACCACAGCAGAAAATAGTGGACCAAAGTGAAGGGATTACACTCTAAAATATAAAAGTATTTTGGATTGTGTCTAAATAATTTTTTGTTTATCACTAATGTTTGATTGTAATCAAAATGCTAACCAAATATGTTTAAATCACTAGGTAAAAGTAGCAAAAAGCAAATCCAAAAAAATCTTTTCTATGTAATTACACACAAAACTACAGTGTATGGGGTTACATAAAATTATTGCCTCTAGATGGCACCATTCCTCCTTCCTAAAATTTTACATTTCTAAGTTATATGTAAAATATTATTGAAAAACTAAAGCTTTTATTTTTAAGACTACGAAGCCAAGTGTGATCCCTAAACGAAGAGGGCCAGAAGGTTTGTGTTAGCTATTGCCCTTTTTAAATTGTATCGCATTTTTAACCGAAGGCTTTTTCAGTCATAGTAATATACTGTTGCAGAAGTCTTGAATGTTTAAATGTGGTGAATAACTTATGTACAGTGTAGCGGCCTTGTGTATTTGTGTATTTATCTGTGTATTTATGTCTGTGAAGGCCTCTGGAGCAGGTCTAGGAAATCTGGAGCTGTGTTCAAAGTTGATTTTGGACATCAGGGTTATAAAAAGTACTCTGCGTCCTTGAACAGTGTGGCTCTTCTTAAAATTTAGTGTGAACTACACACACACTCATTGTTTTTTCAGTGGTTGTTGTATTTAAGGTGCTATTAGCACCAAAAAGTTGTTCTTTAGGGGACCCCATTTAAGTGTTATCTTTGGGGTGGTTAAAGCCATCATGACAGGAAGTTGCTGAGACTTTTATTTCAGTATGTTGATGTACTTCCATCTGAAATGGACTATTGACTAGCGGGTGGGGCTTTCTTTTTGCACAACATACCTTTGTAGCAAACTAATGGTAAGAGTGGTGTGGTTAAGTGTTATTGTTGCTGAAGCCGTCAAGCTGATGTCAACAGAGAAGAACCACCACAAACATGGAAGCAAACAGTCAGACTTTGATAAAAGATGATGGCAAAACAAACTTGCATTAACTTGCATGGATTTGTTCTTCACCTAAAGAAGAACAATGTGCACTAACTAAATAAACATTGTACATTTTAAATTCACTTTAATGACTTTAAGGTGCTCTAGTTGTTGTGTACTTAAATTGCTCCCCATGACTACAAATCAAAGAACCGTTTTTAGTGTTATTTTGAACCTTTTTTAGTGGAATGCTAAGTACAGTCAATTTGCTATTGAGTAAAATGATAATACTATACAATAAGAGCTTAGTCCCAGGCCCGGCCCTAACCGATTTGGCACCCTAGGCAAGATTTCAGGTGGCGCCCCGTCACATCGCAGTAAACTCCACTGCTAGTGCATAGTTATAAATAGCTTTTTGATCGACTACTACAAGCTGGGAAAACGTCAGATAAATCTAATATTTACACATTTGCCTGAAGAAGGAATGATGGGAGTAGTTACATTACTATTACTATTTTCTATAATCGATCGATCTTGACTTAGGAAGTTCAAGATAGAGAGAGTCGCAATAGTCTAACCGGGAGTCACTTTCTAGAGAATGTGAAGTGAGAGAGGACATCAGTTTCCAGTTCCAAGTCTTTTCAAGTTTAGCTGTATATGACCACAAAGATTGATCAAACTTGCATATTTTCAGATAAACTTGCCTTCCGTGTTAATTTCCAGTGTAGTCACGTATTCACAAATCCCAATTTTTTTTGTTAGCTCTGATAAGTCGGATGATCAACACTCTCCAACCATCTGCCCGGCAGCATGAGCCGACCCACTGATACTGTCCATTAGCTCATATTACTCTGTGCATTTGTGGCATAAGTACCACTTTCAGGGAACGTTCGTTTAAAATCTTTATTTGGGGACACTGTCAAACTAAGTAAATAAACAAATAAATACACAAAAAATGTCTTGATTTACTAAATATAAATTGGTTGGGTGGTGGGAGTAATTTGGCATATAGAACATGTTGATCAGTTTGACACAGCAAGGGACGCTAGAAGAGGAGGTGTTGTGCTGTAATTGGAGGTAATACTGAGAGAAAGACTATAATTAGGAGACAGTGAACTGCAACATTCTGCTGCTTTTTTTTTTGGATGCCTCAGAAAGGATTCATTATTTTTAGTTCTGCTTTAAAAATTTTCCTCGCTAACTCCTCCAAAGATTATTATGCAAAATCCCTGCTATGAAAAATTAACAACTTCTTTCATAACACTTGTCGGCCTCAGCAGTTTTGCGGTTCACCTTGGTCCTTTTGACCACACGGGCATCAAATATTAACATCTGCAGATAACCGCAAGGCAGGAAAGGCTAAAGAAGTGTCACGGTAAATGGGTCAAAGTAGAACGGAGATCTTGCATTCATTTAGTCTGA